ACAAAATAGACTTTAAAACAAAGGCTATGACAAGAGAGAAAGAAGGATATTTCATAATGACAAAGGCATAAACGTAGGAGCACCTGAATATATAAAACAAATATTGAATGACATCAAAGGAAAGACCAACAGTAATATAGCCATGATAAGGGACTTTAACTTGCCATTGACAACAATGAAGAGATCATACAGACAGACAATCAACAAGGAAACAGCAGCTTTAAATAACACTCTAAGCCAGATGAATTTAATTGATATTTTATAGCATTTCACCACAAAGCTACAGAAAATACATTCTTTCCAAGTGTACATAAACATTTTCCAGGATAGGCCATATGTTAGGCCACAAAACAAACTTCAATAAATTTAAGGAGATTTCAGTCATGTCAAGTGTCTTCTCCAACCACAGCAGTATAAAACTAAAAGTCAATTACAAGAAGAAAACTGAAAAACACACAAACACATGGAAGTTAAATAATATGCAACTAAATAATAATTGGATTAACAATGATATCAAGAAAAAAAATCAATATATGCCTGGAGAAAATTATCATGAAAACATCACAACCGAGAAACCAAGATGGAAGCATAGGGTAGACACTCGAATGCAGCCTACCACAAAGAATTTGAATTTAGAACTGGAAAACAGGGGAGGCATTGCCCTGAAGCACCAGACAGCTAGCTGAAAGGAGGCTCTGCCATCTGGGAAGGAGAGAAAAGGCGCTCTGACCCTTAGAAACTGTGAAGGTGCAGAAAACTGTGCACACAAAAAGGCGCTGGCTTACTCCCAGAGCGTGGAGAGGGCAGGCCGGGCCAAGTTCACTGCTGGCCAACTCCCGACATGCAGAAAGGACGGACAGCTAACACGAGACTGGCTTTCTTGTTCGGGAGGAAAACAGAATCACCCTATTGCTCTGATAGATGGCCCCAGTCAGGGAGAGACCAGACTGTCAGGCAGCGGGCAGAGATCTCTCAGAGGTGTGTGAAGCCAGTGGCCATTACTGCAGGACTTGGGGAGGGGCGTATAGGAAAACAAAGCTTGTCTGCACCACCCCAAGACTCTATACCATCCAAGCTGAGCACAGAAGCTCTCCCAGAGGGTGGCTTTCTCTAAGGAGGAACTGGCCGGAATCCAAAACTTGTCTGCGCCTTTACCAAAGAGGTGCATGCGTCTGCAACCAATCTTGTGAGACTCACCATAAACAGGACTTTCCTAAGACGAGACTGACAGGGAACCAAAGCTTGTCTGCGCCACCCCGAGACTCTGCCCCATGCAAATGGAGTACAAAAACCCTCCTAGCTGAGACACTGCTGATCCTCACAGCTAATTGGCTTGGAGATCAATGCTTCCCAGTGATACAAATAATAAGCAAGGCTTAACAACAAGACTGCACACACAGCCCACAAAGGGCTACACCAAGACTGTCCACTGCAGGTAACTGGGAATGCTGTGCTACTGCACTCTACCAGAACACCTAGCACACAAAACTATTCCATCAAATCAGGGAAACAACTGAAATGCAGAGAAGCGGCTGGACACAAAGGAAGGAGATGGAGGGAAAGAAAAGAATGGACATTGAATTCAAAACTACAGTTATAATGTTTTTCAAAAATTTCCTTAAAAAGGCCGATAAAATAAATGACACCTATGAGGATATGAAAGGGGATCAGCTAGAAATAAAAAGGGATCAACTAGAAATAAAAAAAACATTGTCTGAAATAAAAAATATTAGCCTCCAGCAGAAAAACCTGTTTGCATATGTTCATATCAGCTTTTCCAGCTGCTCAGGTGACTGTACACTGGGGCTGGACGAATACCCAGGCATATCTAGGACTACTGGACACAGGGTCTAAGCTGGCATTGATCCTGGAGGCCCAAAGTGTCATGATGAGGGCAGGGGCTGTTTGAGAGGAGCTTGTGAGGCATGGTGATAAAAGAAGTTGTCAATATAGTCTGGTTCACAGTGAGCCGACCTGATCCTTCGATCAACCCAGTGGTCGTCTCTCCAGCCCCCAAGCTGATAATTGCCAGTGCTACACTTGGCAGCTGGAGCAATGAATCCCACAGGATCATTGGTCTGTGGGGTAAGAGCTATCATGGTGGAAAAGGCTAAATGAATCCCCTGATACTGGCCCCACCCCAGGCCAAGATAGTAGGTCAAAACCAAAAATCGGGATATTGGTGAGCACAAGGGGGAAGGGCGTTAGCAGAGATTAGTGACACTATTGAGGACCTACAAAATGCAGGGAAACAGGAGCCACTGGAGCCCGAGGGGTGAGGAGAGTGGAGGAGGTGTGGAAAAGTTCTAGGATTCTGCCTGGGGGCAGGGGGGAGGAGAGAAAGAAGGAAGATGGGAAGGAAGGAATGGAAATCCCCAGAGGGATGCCTGCGGCTTCTACTAGATGGATGGGTAATGTTTCCTAGGACAGCGGTGGGTATAGGAGATTTTGCTATCTGCTTCCTCGTCCATCTTAGCAGGTGTGAAATAGTGCACCATGTCTTTAAAAGTCATTGGGACAAGTGGGAGAGGGCATTAGCCACACACAGGCAGGGGTGGGGGGGGGCACAGATTTCCGAGGAGGAGGATCAGAGATTTAGAGTGTACCCAATCTCCCTGCTGCAAAACCTTCTCTATCAGAACCAGTAAAATTGGGCCTTTGAGGGCTCTCTGGCAAGAGCTGTTCAGACACCCGTGCCTCTCTAGGAGATCAGCCAGAGTAGGATGCCGGAGGGAGAGGCGGCTAGAAAGACAGAGTAGAACGGCTCCACCAGGCATGGCTCAGTGGATCAGCATCAACTTATGAACCAGGAGTTCATGGTTAGATTCCTGGTTAGGGAACCTGGGTTGCAGGCTCAATCTTGAGTAGGAGGCACGCAGGAGGCAGCCAATCAATGATTCTCATCATTGATGTTTCTATCTCTCCCTGTCCCTTCCTCTCTCTGAAATACACACACACATACACACACACACACACACTCATATATATCTATATCTATATCTATATCTATATATAGATATAGATATATATACATACCTATATATATCTATGTATATAGATATATATATATAGATATATATATATGAGAGAGAGAGAGAGAGAGAGAGAGAGAGAGAGAGAGAGAGAGGGAGAGAGAGAGAGGAGAGCATGAATGAAAAAGAGAGGAAGAAGGTGTGGAAGAGAGGAGGGCTGTTGGAGTAGGGGTTGTGTGGCAAGCCAGTGGAAATTCGAACACTTGAGGGCATTTATAGAAACCAAGCGAGGGCCAGGGCTGCTCAGCTCAGGGAAGCTGGGAAGCTGAGAAGCAGGCGGTTCAGAAAATTTGAGAGACAACTGGCTCCCTGGCCTGGCTGCTCACTGGTAAGCGTTGGCTGTGCGTCCTTCCAGACCTTCATAACATGTCTGTAGGTACACATACATGTATTCTCAGACCTTCTATCCGATTGACTAGTTTGAAAAGAAGTTACAAATGTGTATCCAACGCCATGGCTCTGCAGCTTGCTGTGTTCCTTTGAAATCTGTGCATTCTTTTGACTGGGGCGTTTTCATCTACCGGGTGCATACACTACATTGAATTCATCCATCTCCTTCCTGGTGGGAATTTAGAGTGTTCCCAGTGTTTCCCACCACCGTTGAGCATGTGTCCCAATACACTCCATGTACCAGTGTGTCTCCAGAAGATGTACCCGGCAGAGGTCCATGCCTTGTCATGGAGGGAATGGGCGCTTTTTCATTTTTAAGATTTTCTGCTCCAAAGCAAGGGCTCTGAAGCGGGACTGTCTTGGTTTCGATCCTGCTGCTGATCGCTACAAGCCGAATGACCTTGACCCAGTGGCTGAACCTCTCAGAGCCTGCTTCCTCGCCTGTAAGAGGGCGGTGACAGCGAGTAGTTCCCTCCTAGCATGGTCGGAGGATGTGTTACTACTCTTTCTCTACAGCGCTCAGGAGAGTGCTAGGCACGTAGCAAGTGTGGTGTAAGTTGTTTTTCCTGGATTCCAAAGGGTTCTTGTGTGTTTCTGCACAGGCCGCCGCTTCCCCTCCCCCTCCCAGCCCCCCCCACCCCCTACTTCACAGTGGGCCAAGCACGGGCTTGCTCATAACATCTCCCACCCTTGGGACAGTTAAGCTCGTTGATTGTCGCAGACCTGCTGTGTAAAAATGGATTTATGGTTTGCGTCCGCATCCCCAGCATCAGTAGCATTAGTGACGGTGAGCATCTTCTGGGGTGTGCACTGGCCACGGGAATACCCTCTTCTTCGAACTGAGTCAGAGTGGGAGCAGGGCTGAGGGGCCCCGCAATAAAGCTCCCTGAAGCACCCAGCCGCGGGCCGACTTGACCACCCATCATAACGGAAATGGAGTTGCGACAGAGACACACCGCCCGGAAATGCCACGGGGCCTTTCTGCTCTCTGGGCCTTTATGGAAAAAGCATGTAGACCCACTGCTGACCACGCGCTCGGGCATCCATTTCCCTGTAGGGTCCTAAGTCTTGTTGCAGAAGAATGGCTGGTGCTTCACCTCCATCCTGAACTTCCATCCCCACCACCCCTCCGCCCACCCCAGCCAGGCGCATCACCTCCCCGCTTCGTACATGGAACACGGAGGCTAGGTGCTTTGACCCCGGTGGGGCAGTAGGCACGTGGCCAGGGCAGGCGGGACAGGAAGTGACGAGAGGAGCGACCCTAGGCCATGACCACACTCCTCCACCAGGCCCCACCTGATTGGCTTGCAACCGCCAGAGGCCCTCCACCCTATTGGCGGGGGCGGGGCGGGGGCGGGGTGGGTCTGGAAGGGGCGCGCTGATTGGTGGGGGGACACGCGCCAATGGGAAGGCCTGGGCCTTGGTGGTGCCGGAAGTGGCGCAGTTTCGGAGGCCGCCTCCTGAGCTGCCCGTGGCGGCGGACGCTCTCAGAAGGTCAAGGCCTCGCGCTCCTGCCGCTGCCTGTGCTCAGGGCGACCGACCGTTTTCCCTGAAGCTGGGCTGTTGGGACTTGGTGGCATGAGCTCCCCCAGCAAGGACGAGGGGTCTGTTTGGGGAATGGGGCCCCCCCCGGAGGGCGGGGGGCAGGCCTGTGGACTAGGCCAGACTTTGGGGACGCCCCTGCCGAGCAGCCAGCGCGAGGGCACGTCCCCAGACCTCGAAGGCTTCGAGGAAGAGCGGGAAGTGGTGGAAGGGGTGCTTTGGGGTTGCGAAGGCCGACCTGGCTCCCCGGCCGACCTCGACGGGGACACTCTGGACTATCTGGCCGACGAGGCCGCGATGGCCATCCTGCAGCAGCTGACCGACCGGGATGACCTGTGTGTCCGCAGAAACCCCTCCCCAGAGAGCTGCGACTCTGAGGTGTCCACCCTTTGGGCGGACTCGCAGGCAGGTCCCGGGGGTGGAAGCGCGGGGGCCTATGGTTGGGTGGGATCTCGGCTGCCTTCCACAGCCCGGCTGCCCCTCCAAGAGCCTGGGGGAGGCCGGGCCTGGGGAAGCCGCAGAAGAGGAGCTCAGAATAGGTCAGAGAGCACCGTGGGTCGCCAGCTGTCCTTCGCAGAAGGCCCGGTGGGCTCGCCTTCCGACTCCGAATCATCAGATGACTTCAGCGAGCTGCACCTGCTGAGTTTCAGCCTCCGTGGCAAGGGGGTGGGCCAGGCCAAACCCAGGGGCCTGCAGGGCACACCCAGACACTCGAGTGCCCACGTCAGGGAGACATTGCTTCGTGTGCCAGGCTCCTTCCTGCCCTCCTCTCCCCAGCGCCTGGCTTCCGTTGGGGTGAGGCAGGCTGTTGGAGAGCTGGATGTGCCCTGCAGGAAAACCCAAAGTGTGGTCTGGGGGAAGGAGGAGAGCAGGCCCAGCTACCTGCCAGGCGCTGCTGCTGCAGGCGGCCTGCCCCAGGTCACTCCTGCAAGGAAAGTGGCCCAGGAGAAGAAATTCCCAGGGGGGGCCTCCAGAGTTGCCCCCCAGGGTATCTTCCCTCCCTGGGGGCAGAGAGGCTCAGCCACTGCCTTGGAGCCAACCACCTTCCCCCCAGTCTCTGGAGGGCCGCTGCTCGGGAGGGGCAAGGGGTATTCCTTGGGTCCCGTGGGAACCAAACAGTCCAAGCACTCCAGCGCCGGGCAGAAGTCTGGGGCCAGGAGGAAGAAGGGGTCCCTGCCGGTGTTGGTAGAAGAAAAGGAACCGGAGAGAGACCCAAGCCCAGAAGTCCAAGTGAGTACGAGGCCATGGTCCTCCCCACTCCCCACCCAGCCCTGCACTTCTCTGGGCATGCTCCCTCTGTCCCTCCTCGGGGCTTGTCATCAGGCACCCTGGGTCCTTAGGATGCCAGAACACGTCTGGGCGGTTTCAGCCAGGGAGCACCCTGAGCTAGTTCTCCATGTGTACTGGGACCATTCTCTGCAACTGGCAAGTTTCCCCGCTGGGGTGGGAGGGAGTGCGGGCTGGGGCATCTGGTTTGGACCGGGGCCCCCTTAAGACTTTGGGCCCCAAAGCTTCAATGTTTAGAACCATTGACTCCCTGACTCCTACTTGCTAGCTGCTCTCTGAGCTGTCCTTGCAGAGGGGTGTGTGTGTGTGTGTGTGTGTGTGTGTGTGTGTGCGCGCGCGCGTGCATGTGCGGGGTGGGGGAGGGGGGTTGCTTTCTCAGCACCCCGCTATTCTCTCTAGCTCAGTCTGGCCTCCTGACCAGGGCTGACTGAGGGCGAAAGTGCTGATGTGGTCCGCCTAGGAACTGCCTTCCCTATTCCCTGCCTCACCCCAGCCCTTACACACACACACACACACACACACACACACACACACACTGTGCCCACACACAAGCACGCGCACACATCCCGATTCTGAATAAGTGAGAACTTTTTATTTTAGCCTCTGACACACAGTCCTGAATGCAGCAGTGGCAACGGCAACAGCAGAGCCGCCGAGGTTCCAGGACAAGCATGGCCCTGGGCCCTGAGCCAGGGAGAAGCCCTGCCCAAAGGGCCCACACCCTGCAGTGAGTCCCCTGGGTCTGCTGGGAGTGGAGGGGGGAGAGCAAGGACTGAACCCTCCTGCTTGGCTCCACCGGGGGCTCAGCCCTGCTCCCTGCCTCCCTGCCTGCCCAGACAGCTTCTCCCACAGGAAATAGGGTGTCTGGGCGGGGCAGGGCTCAAGGCACTTCATCCTCTGCATGGGCTTTGTGCGCAGGGGGGGTTCGTGGCCCTGACCCAAACTGCCACACCAGATACACACTTTCAGCGGAACAGGGCCTCTTTCGATAGGTCTTGTTGGGCCGCAGGGGCTGGTTTTGCCTGCAGCTCTGCGAGCATCCAACCAAGAACCACACACAGTGTTGGAGACCACAGCCCTGGGTGGGCTGCCCATGGGGAACAGGGAGGCAGGCCCACAGAGAAGGGTGGAGCTGCTGGGCAGAGCAGGGGCAACTTGCTGCTAGCAGAGGGGGCTGCTGCCTCACGTTAGACCCAGCTAAGCCCTTCCCACCTCCCTGGGTGCTTTGGAAGCTGGATTGTGTGTCCTTTCCCTCTCAGCTAACCAGGAGCCACTTGGACGTGTCCCAGCGCGGGAAAGGCAGCAGCAACCGCCTGGAGCAGAGGGTTGTCCTCGGGTAATGCTTCCTCTGGCTCCTAGAAATGCAGTCCCGAGCTGGACTGTGGGATCTGTGTCCAGATTAAACCGACCTGTGTCTGCCCCCTCTCCCCACACCACCACCACTACCGCCGCCTCTGCCGCCACCCCACACCTCAGGGAGGGAGGGCATGCACCTTTTCCCACTGAGGAGCCCATGCCGGGCTAGCCCAGGTGGTGGGGCAGGGGTGTCGTTGAGGAGGGGAGAGGAGGCCTGAATATACTAATCATTTCTCTTTCTCTGGTGTCTGCTGGCCTAGTGCCCGGAGCTGCAGAGACAAATATATGACCTTAGACAGCAACTAGGTAAGAGGAAACTCTGGTAGGGGCAGGGGCAGGGGCAGGGCCAGAGTTTGGCGCCTTAGCATGGGGCTGGGGCTGGGGCAGGCTGCAGGCACAGGCGGCCTCACAGGGTCCAACATTCCTGTGGGGAAGAGAACCCAGCAGGCCTGGTCCTAGAGCCTACTGTGCATGTACAGCTAGGTGTGCGGACAAAGAGGAAAGAAAGTGTGGTGGGAACTACAAGCAGTGTTTGCCAAGGAGAACCAGTCCTAGAGATCTTCTCTTAGGACGGATGTCTAGAGATGCCTCATTGATTCTCCCTTCAACTACTGCTTGCTATGGTTTCTGTGGGTCTTGTTTGTTTGACAAATTCTGAGTGGTTCTGATATGCCCCAAAGCTTTCGTGTTGGCACACTTTGTCCTGTTTGGAAAACATTTCCACACTTAATTCAAGTGGTGAGTGAGTGAGTGAGTCAGGCCCAGGGTTCCTTGGGTAGGGACTAGAGGGGGTTTCAGGTTGCAGGGCTAGGTGCTTCCCCACAGGGATAGGGGGTCGGGCTTCTCTATCCCTCCCTCTGGAGTGCCTGCTTATGCCCCTCTCTGTTTCAGCTGCCATGCAGTCCCTGGCTGACAAGTTCCAGAACCTGTGATGTGAGTGTTGCACACACCATACCCCTGCCCACAGCCGTGGCTGTTGAGGAGGGCTGTGGGCTGGCCCTGGCTTGGAGCTCCTCCCCGACTCTGCTCTGTTGGACAGGTGGAACCCAGCATCTCGGTGCAAGAGGAGAGCAGCCCCGGAGCTGTGGCCAAGCTGGTTCCCTCCTGTTCCACGTCAGCCAAGGCATCCTCTCCCCCTCCCTTTGCCTCCTCCGCACCCCATTTCTCAGCAGCTTCAAATTAAAGTCCCTCTCAGATTCTGTGGTCTCACCCTGGCCGGTCTGGCTCGGTTGGTTGTTTGAGCATTGTCCCGTGCACCAAAAGGTCACAGGTTTGATTCCAGGTCAGGGCACGTGCCCAGGTTGTGGGCTTGCAGCCAATTGATGTTTCTCACATCCATCTTCCTATCTCTCACTCTCTCTCTCCCTTTCATCAATAAAAGCCTGTTTGTTACACAAAAAAAACACAAACCTCTGTGGTCTCTCTTGGGGGTGGGGGGGCGGGGAGACAGGTGGAAGAGGGAAGGAAGGGGGGGAGGTCTTGGAGTTGCTCCATCTCAGAGCTTTTTCCAGAACAATACCTCTGGCATTCTGTGGTGGGCCTTCTGCCTGTGGGCAGTCTGCGCCAGCCTCTGATGGGATCCTTGCAGTCAGACCACCAGACTGCTCTGGGTCCGGGCTCTGCCTGGATCTACCTGATCACACTAGTTTCTCTCCCCTTAGCCCTGCAGGCCCTCTTGGTGTGTTCTAATCTCCATGTTTGGGTTCTCATGCCAGTCATTGCCCATTTCCTCTCCCCTTCAGCAGGAACACAGGACCCCCTTCCAGAGCTTAGTCCCTCTTTCCCACAGTCATTGGGTCCCCTCCCAACTACCCTGCTTTGCTGTCTGAACACCCTTGGGCTCCTCATGGCTTTCCGTAGGTGGCCTTCCCTGCACCTCTACTGCAGCAGGTGTTAAAGAGCACACTTGAGCTCATCTTCCCCCTTCCCAGGCCCAGACCTCTCTGTGGAGTCCTTCCCTCCTGCTGGTGCCACCTCGCACACATGGAAAACTCACCCAGCAACCCCTCTTTAGCTCTCACCGTTGACGCTCCACTCAGTTCTCCCTCCTTTGTTTCAGAGCGGTGAAGGCAGAAGCCTCAGCTCAGGGAATTGTGGATCACAGGGGAAGGTGCGGGAATACAGGGGAAAAGACAGGGAATGAGTGTTGTGGTGGCTTGGGCCAACCTGGGGAAACTGCCTAGCAGAGGGTTCACTGCCTGCCTGCCCTAGCCCTCTAATGCCTCTCCTCCGTCCGGTTTCTATGGCGAGGGTGGTTGATTAGTCTCAGTGTGTTATGTGGTCCCCTTCAAATGCTATATTAGACCAGTCCAACACACAGGTTCTCCTGAAAGTGGCAGTTCTTCACACACACCCCCCCCAAGGTTTTTAAAACAGCTTTTGAAATTTCTGCCCAGAGGCAGACACCAAAAAGTAGATAGCATGTTTACTATGAATGGCTGAGAGTTTATCTCTTGACTTCCCCAGCAGGAAAATTGTGACCATTTTGAAATTTAGAGGATGTACTAGGCCTATCGCTGGAAACTTAACAGAACATGGAAGTTACTAAATCAAATGATAAAAACTCAAATCTAAATTTATTGAATTGTTATAATACTGAAATGTTGATCTAAGTATGCCTAGTATTAGTCCAGAGGATAGAAGTTAGTCTGTTAATTAAATGTCCCTTATATTTTATTTAAAATGTATCTTTAAAAATGTAAAAGTATTATTGATTTGAGAAATGCTAAGTATTTGATTTACTACCTGAAAAATTTTAAAGTTCTGAAAGTTTAAAGTATCTTTTTCCCCCCATGATTCCTGAAACAAATCAGTTTCACTAAAAGTGAGATGTTGACAGGAAGCCAGGAAGGCTGGTCAGCAACCTTAATTGCTTTAACCACTCTCCCAGTAAGCTAAGTAAGGTGGTAATTCACATTTGAATGGCTACAAACTTCTTCCAAACTCATGTGGCAAAAACAAAACAAACCCCCCCCCTTTTTTTTGAAGTTGGCTCTTAATTATATAAATAAAAAAGTAAAGTTTAAATTTGCCTCATAAAAAATCTAAAGGACAGAATTGAAGCTCTTAATTATGTCTTGTATTTTCTTAGAAATGTAAAGTGTTATTAATCTAGGATATACAAAATATTTGACTTACCAGCTTTAAAAGTTCAAAATGCAAATTAAATGGGGAGAAATTATATAGTTAAAATGTGTTTTCTCTTATATAATTAGGAATTCAAAATATGTTACTTGTTTGGTCTGATTTAAAAGAAAGAGGATTAATTCATTGATCTAAATAAAATGTAATTGATATTCTCTAAGATAATTTATGTATATAATATTTAAATCATATATATAAATATATTATATATTTGATCTTTCCAAGAGTATTTCAAGGTTTTTTGAGAATAACTTTTGCATGTTTCACGGGCCCCAAAATGTTCAAAAGTCTGTTCTCTCTTAAAATAAATATTTTTTTTAATTAAACAGATTGATACTTGAAATCACATGGAAAGCTTTATCAAATAAAAATTAATATATTTTATTTATATACTATATATTAAGTGTTATGAAAGTTTTTGCCCGTAAGAAAGGCAAAAACAATATATTTCTTAAATATAGCCAAAATTTTCAACAGCAGTAGAATTTCAAGAAAGACAAAAAGGCCTCATGCAGCCTGCATTTTTGAATTGGCTATAGGTGGGACACTGTTTATGCTTTTGGATCAGACCAATAAAGTATCAAACTTATAAGTTTTACTGAATAAGTTTCTTTGCCTTTTTTAAATTAAAGATACCTACTTAAGTTACTTTATAAATTAGCTTTTATGATATAATCAATGTCATATAAATTAAGTTACATGAGAAGCCAATGTTTTATAAGTAATTGAATCCTAACTTTATGTAGCCGCCTGCATTTTTAATTAAGCTAGAGGCAGGGCAAAATTTGTGGCTTGTGAATTCAGAAGTAAATTTGCTTTATTTTTAAAATGAAGATACCTACTTTAATTACTTAAATAAATTAGATTATCAAATTATAATCAAGGTTTTCAGCTAAATGAAAAGCCAATAATTTTTTAAACAATTCTAATAAAGACCAGAAACAGCTAGTGATTGCTTTATCAAATAAAAATTAATGTTACATATACATATATTTCAAATTTTATGAAGGTTTTGGCCTCTTTAGAAGGGCAAAACGAAGTAACTAAATATTTCTTCTAGCTTGAAATTGAATTATCATGGATTAAAGCAAAGAATATCCTTACATGATATTATTCTATAATGTCATTATAATTTTTGATATTTTATAACAGCATATTGTACATTTATCCCAAACAAACTTACAAACTAATTCTTTGAATGTTTGGCAGCAATTTTAAAAAGCACATGAAAGGATTTAATCCGTTCCACTGTGTGGAAGGTCCCTTGGGAAGGCACTTAAGCATTCTATTGGCCCTTCTTGCTCTTTTTGCCAAAAGGGACCCTCTTGTCACAATCCAATTGCCCACAGCTGTTGCCTAAGTTTTCAGCTAATGCTGAGGTTGAAGCCTCATGGTGGCTGGTACCATGGATCTGTCTCTTGCCCAGTGGCGTGAGCTGGGCCCTCCCTGGAGAAGATACCTGGGTTTCCCAAGATATGTGATCAATGCCAGGGCCCCGCCAGCAGGCAAGGAGATCCCAAGGCAGGTGGTGGGCATGGAGGCCATAGGGGCATAAGCTACCAAGGAGACAGAACCTCACCTCACATCACCCTGCATGGCCCCAGAGGATGGCTGGTTAGCCAATGACGGGTAAGATTTCTCAAGGGAGGGACAACCTAAGACAGGCACAGCCGCAGGGGGGCCAGCAGGAGAGAATTTGGGGGTCAACAGAGGTGGGGCACAGATCCTCACCGCCCTCCCAACATTGCAGGGGCTTGAACCTTCACCCCTTCTGAGGAAGGTCTCCTGCCCCATGGCTGCTTCGTGCTTCCCATGCCCAGCTCAGATCGGGACCCAGGCAACAGAGACATGGCTGATATATTTAAATCCAGTCTACCACCAGGAATGCCTAGAACTTTCTCAAGGATGCAAATACTCCTTTCCATTAATATGTACAGGGTAAAATAAGATTGTTGTTAGAGTATTAAATTTGACAGTAAAATAGTCAAGTTTTCAGATTAATTTAAATTGGATAAATGAAATAAGTGAATATTCAAGAACATTTCATTGTACAAAAAGCTGTTTCTAAAGTATTAACTAAAATTTCTATTGGTAGTTCATTTCATGGTAAAATTGCTTAACATGTAATGAACCTAAAAGCAGTCATATTTTTGTGCAAAATTTTTAAAAATTTGAAGACTGCATTATAAAATTTTTCCAAAAAGCCTCCTAATTGTTGGGAGCTGCCCTGAAAACAGGGGACTTTTTCCTTGGAGCTGCCCTGAATGCAGGGGTCTCTTGGTGGACACAGCTCCAGTAAGACAAAAGTCATAGCTCTCATGAGAACGTGCTGTTTAGCTTGTTTTGCATCTTGTTAATGTAAAAATACTACTGACCTTTGTAAAGAATAACATATACTGTTTAACCTGCTGCTTGCGTATAGATTAGGAAACAATTCTCTGCTTACGTACAGAAACAAAGATGTGGTGCTGGGTAAATACTTAGCCTAAAGGTCAGCAGATATTTATCTGCTGGCCTGTATCTTTTACCTCCCTGCTTTTGCTGTATAAAAACGAGCTAAGAAATAAACTCGGGACTGCAGACTTCAGTCTCAGTCCTCCCAACTCCATCTTTTCTTGTCTTTCTTTTTTCTCATCCTCACCACCTCAATCAGGTACTGTTCGTTGCCGGCAGGTTCCGGCAGTTGGTGCCTGAAACAGGAACCTGAAAACCTGGGACTAAGGTAGAGGACACTGCCCAAGGAGCAAAGAGGACGCGTTCAAAATAAGGTAGGACTGGGGCAGGGAGT